AGCCTCCCAAAGTGCTGGGATTACAAGTATGAGCCACTGCACCTGGTCACCATCTATTTCTCTTCACCTCACGATCTGTCCCATGCCCACCATCTCCCTCTCCCCTCCAAAAAGGAAGAGCTGATAAAGGAAAACACAGTGACTGGGGGGAAAACAATTAGAAAGCTGGGCGCAGTGGCTCACGCCCATAATCCCAGCACTTTGGGAGGCCGAGGTGGGAGGATCACCTGAGGTCGGGAGTTTGAGACCAACCTGACCAACATGGAGAAACCCCGTCTCCACTAAAAATACAAAATTAGCCAGGCGTGGTGGCGCATGCCTGTAATCCCAGCTACTCGGGAGGCAGAGGCAGGAGAATCACTTGAATCCAGGAGGCGAAGGTTGCGGTGAGCCGAGATCATGCCATTGCATTCCAGCCTGTGCAACAAGAGCAAAACTCTGTCTCAAAAAAAAATTAGAATGGCCCCCAAATCCAAGACACTGGAAAAGTGGACCTTGGCTTTGGATTGTTTTTTTTTTTTTTTGAGACAAGTCTTTCTCTGTCACCCAGGCTGGAGTGCAGCGGCAAGGTCTTGGCTCACTGCAACCTCTGTCTTCCGGGTTCAAGTGATTCTCCTACCTCAGCCTCCCAAGTAGCTGGGATTATAGGCACCTGCCACCATGCCCAGCTGATTTTTATATTTTTAGTAGAGACGGGGTTTCACCATGTTGGCCAGACTGGTCTCGAACTCCTGACCTCAGGTGATCCGCTCACCTCGGCTTCCTAAAGTGCTGGGATTACAGGTGTGAGCCACTGCGCCCAGCCATGGATTTTCTAATAAAATTAGAAGCTAGCTGTAAAATATAAGAAGATCTCAGGCATTTATTTCATAGAACTCTTTCCAGGGAAGTTATGGATGCAGTATAGCCAACTCAAAACACTCCTTCTTCCCTGTTCCTCCTCAAGCCCTACACTCAATGCCCAAACCCATGGGTTCCACCTCAGAAACATCTGTTAAGTCTACTCCTTCCTCTAGCCCCATGTCCCCAACTGCAGCCTCATTTCCTGCTTTCAGGAACTCAGGTTCAGGAGCTCCTTTCATCGTACACTTTTTGCAACTTGGCACCTTTGTAAAACTACTGCTTCTGCCTGGAATCCATTGGGTTAAGAGCAGAGACTCAGAAGCCAGGCTGTCTTGAGCTCCAATTCTGACTGAACCTCTGCCTCCCGGATTCAAGCGATTCTCCTGCCTCAGCCTCCCGAGTAGCTAGGATTACAGGCATGAGCCACCACGCGCGGCTAATTTTGTATTTTTATAGAGATGGGGTTTCTCCATGTTGGCCAGGCTGGTCTCAAACTCCTGGCCTCGTGCTCTGCCTGCCTCAGCCTCCCAAAGTGCTGGGATTACAGGCGTGAGCCACCACGCCTGGCCCACAGTTTCTTAAATATACTGATTTGTAGGGACACATGTAAAAAGTCTTAGCTGAGCACGGTCGCTCATGCCTGTAATCCCAGCACTTTGGGAGGCTAAGGCAGGTGGATCACCTGAGGTCAGGAGTTTGAGACCAGCCTGACTGACCAACATGTTGAAACCCTGTCCCTACTAAAAATACAAAATTAGCCGGGCATGGTGGCAGGTGCCTGTAGTCGCAGCTACTTGGGAGGCTGAGGCAGGAAAATCACTTGAACCTGGGGGGTGGAGGTTACAATTGCGCCACTGCGCTCCAGCCTGCGCAATAACAGCGAAACTCTATCTCAAAATAAATAAATACATAAATAAAAATAAAAAGTTTTAGGAAAAAAATTTTAAAAAAATAAGTATTATTCAATAGATTTGGGGTAAAGCCCCATATTACTCTCTCATAGCTGATGGGCAGCCAGAGTTAAAAAAACATAAGCTAAAGGCCTATATCCATTGACCCAAGGGAAGACAATAAAGATTCATGCCACTCTGCCTGACCCAATTTTGAAGAGTTCTCCCACTTAAAAAACATAGGAATCGCACGGTGTCTTCCTCAGTGAAGCTCTGGTTTCCTTCTATAAAATTGATACACTTTAAAGGGTCTGTGGAAGATTAGCAAAAGTTGTAGAATGTGCCATACCCAACCAAGGTGATAGCACAGGTGAACAGAGACCAGGAGAAATATCTTTATTTGAATAGGACCTGAGACAGCATATTGGGCTAAGGAGGAAAGGTAAGGTTCCAAAATGGCGGTCAAAGCTGATCGACCAAAGGGACTCTACTTCCCAGCAACTTTGCAGTTAGTGCAACCAACAAAAGGCCTGCTGGGGAATGTATTTGCCACTAAATTCCCCAAGTATGGCAACATTACAAAAAAGATAGAGGTTTTTCATCATAATTAAATTTCCGCAAACCTCCCCAATCACAAGTATTATAAGCGGAAGTAAAAAAATCACAGATTTTTACAGATCTCAAACTTGTCTTCAACATTTAGTTCATCATTTTCAAAAAATAGCTCCCCTGCCTAATTCATTAGCTATATGATCTATCCAAGCAGCAACAAGATGGCCAGGCCATGGCAATCCTCTTCCCATTTCCCCTAGCCACTCAGGGCTCAACAGCAGGGTGAGGCTCAGGTGGAGGCAGGGGGTGGGGAGCACAAGGGCTACTTTCCCCCAGTACAACATGGCATCTGAAGCTTGATGGGAGAGCAGAACTGGTGAGACTTGAGGGAAGGGTCCAGGGCCTGTATTCAGTCAGAATCACTGCTGGAAGAGGAGGAGGAAGAGGAGGAGGAATGCTGCAAGGGGAAAGGGGAAAGAGGAAAGAAGCATCAGATCCAAATGACCTTTCATCACTCCGTGGGCCATTCTTTGGTGCCCTACCCCTCTACCCAAGTATCCCTTGCTTCCCTAAGAAGGTCAGGAGTCTTGAACTGACTGTACCTAAACAAAAGCAAGGGTTTCCTTCAGCAGTGAGCACACAGGAATGGATTAAACCATCCTAAATTATCACACAGAATTTTAAAAATTTAACATATTGCCTTTGGAGCAAATTTCCAACTTCCTTTACCTGAATCGATGCCTAGGCAAGGAATAAATTACAGGCCCAAGCATAGTATGGTGCTAGGAAACAGCAGTTACCTTATAAATGCTTATTTATTAGCTGCATGCAAAGTCCTATGATTTTAAGAAATTGGATTCTACAAATCTAAGAAGACAGTAGAAACAGCAGTTGTGTGTGCACGTATCTCTACTTTTTCCAAAGCACAATGGGAAAAAGTGGGGAAGATGTAAGAAAAGGCTGGGAGTTCTATTAAATATTCCTTAAGCACATACTCCCAGCAATGCTACAGTTATTAAATAAAAACATTTTTCAGTCTCTCCAGGGTAATTTCTCCCCCTTCTTCCCCACTAAATCTCAATTCTCTTCAGACTTTTTTTTTTTTCAGATGGAGTCTCACCCTGTTGCCCAGGCTGGAGTGCAATGGCATGATCTCAGCTCACTGCAACCTCCACCTCCTGGGTTTAAGAGATTCTCTGCTGGGTGCGGTGGCTCACACCTATAATCCCAGCACTTTGGGAGGCCGAGGTGGGAGGATCACAAGGTCAGGAGATCGAGACCACGGGTGAAACCCCGTCTCTACTAAAAATACAAAAAATTAGTCAGGCACTGTGGCAGGCGCCTGTAGTCCCAGCTAGTTGGTGGGGGGGCTGAGGCAGAAGAATGGCGTGAACTCTGGAGGCGGAGCTTGCAGTGAGCCGAGATCGCACCACTGCACTCCAGCCTGGGGGACAGAGCGAGACTCCGTCTCAAAAAAA